CGTAACTGATTACATGTGCTACATACCAACACAGATATCACACACAAACCAACCAACCGACAACTAACGGCAGTGTGTCGTATTCTACATTTCTTTATAATATTTAGTCAGAGATTATAACAGGGTTACTAACTTCCTGTTGAGGCAATACAGACGACATTTAAGCCGTTTAAGATGACTTTAAAGGAGTAGTTCACTTTAAAAAAAATTTTTTGCTGATAATTTACTCACCAACATGTCATCCAAGATGTCCATGTCTTTCTTTCTTCAGTCGTTTTTTTAAAACATTCCAGGATTTTTCCCCATATAATGGACTGCAGTGGGAACCAAGCGGTTCAAGGTCAAAATTAGAGTTTTATTGCTGTTTCAAACGACACCAGACGTTGAATAAGGGTCTTATCAAGCTAAACAATCGGTCATTTCAAAAATAAATAAAAAAGTTGAAGTTTTATAAGCACAATTGCTCGCCTTGCTCTGTTCTGTGATGCACATTCATGACTCTCCAGTTCGAACTCCTTTATCAAAATGAACAAATCTTTTTTTCGAGTTATTTTTTAAATGAGCGCTCGTTTCGCTAGATAAGACTCTTATTCATCGTCTGGTGTCGTTTAAAGCCCTTTAAAGCTGCACTGAAACTCTCATTTGGACCGTTTGGTTCCCATTGAAGTCCACTATATGGAGAAAATCCTGGAATGTTTTCATCAAAAACCTTAATTTCTTTTCGACTGAAGAAAGAAAGACATGAACATCTTGGATGACATGGGGGTGAGTAAATTATCAGCAACTACTCCTTTAAGAGTTCTCAAGTCTGAACTGGAAAGTATCAAAGAACTTCAAAATGGCACACAAACCCGCACATTTCTTTGAAACGCCAAGGCGTCTTTTCAAGATGATTCTGACTTTGATTCAAGATCGAAGATTATAACTTTAAAGTCTGAGCTTCTTGTGTTTACATTATGAACATAGACATTCTTTTAGATACATTATTCTCAAATGTTTACCTTAAAAAAATAAAAAAATAAGTGTTAAAATGCCCAGATTTTCTCCCAACCAAAAACAATTTTAATTACTATAAATCTAAATTCATGTAAGGCGCTTTGGATGAACCTGCTAAATGAATAAAAAGGTCAAAGCGGTCGGCAAAAACAACCTTAAACAGATTCAAATGCGAGCATAAAGTTTCGTACTCACCTCATGGTCTTGAAGCTAGCTTTGATGACAATCCTTTTGGAGCAAACAGACCTCCTCACCAGGACACAGTGGATTTGGGAGACTATCTGGAGTGATTTCGGCACAGATCAGAGGCCAGTTGAGCTCACTGTGTTACTGCGGGATGCTGCTGCGGTCGTCTCAGTGTCTCAGCAAACGGAGGCTTATTTACTATACACTTGTAGTTTCCTGTGACGAACAGGTCTAACTGTCACTCCTTTGCTGACGCACAGATGTCTGACAGAGAGAACAGACTAGAAGAAGGTGGTTTGATCATGTTTAATCTTCAACAGCACAGAAAGCTTTTGAATGTCATGATGTCATGGGCTAATTGATGCAACAATGTTTACGGCTTACGGAATATTGAAAAGGTTCAGATATTCTCTGATGATACTTTTTGCGCATATTAATTTCAATATCTCCCAAATGCACCAAAATCAATTGCCATGGCAATAACTGCCATGGAAACTAAATGATCAGATCAGATGCAAAACAAGTCTTGCTACAAATTACTGCTCATTTACACATTTTAAACCCCAGCTGAAAAAAAAGATGATAATGGATGCACAATTTGCATTGGGATTCATAAGGTGATGGATTTTAGCACGTATCACTATTCTGTGAATTCGGAATATGTGCATTGCATTATCTGTACTCATGACCTGTTAAACTTATACTGAAGATGTTGCAAACCTAGTTCCCATGACAAATGGAGCGATTTCATTAAAGTGAATGAGTTCATCATTGAGAAGCGGATCAGCAAATCTATACGGTAAATGAAAATGACAAACATAAAGGCCTAATCTCCTCTAGCTGAGTGATCATGCATATCAGATGGAAAGAAGACTCAGCACAGATCTGTTTTCGACTGATCCTTTCGGCTGTGGTCAAAAGTTGTACTTGAAGTACTTGAAGTGTGCATGCCACAGTTTCTAAAAATAGCTTCTATGTGTGTCAATTTTGACCACATGCAATCAATAAAACTTGCTTGTGATCGGAAACTTTCTCAGCAGGCTGAGATGACTGAGGTGCAATGTAGTGCATATTGAGTGCTATTAGTGCATGAAGTTGTGCTTTTAAGTGATTTGGGTCACATCACACTTTGTTTTTCCCTGAACTCTAAATATAGTGTTAGTTAAGGTCGAATTGCCCAAAACATTGTTTTCCTTGACCATTTTCAACACTCAGCTCCTTAAAGGTAGCCCAAAATGTAAATTCTGTACTTTGTTGTACTTATCCTCAGGTTGTTTCAAACTTGTATGACTTTATTTCTGTATGACTATAAGAGCACACGAGAAAATATATTCACTTTTCCAAAACTCTTCACATAGTGGTCAATGTGGTCTAAACTGTGGATCACTTATACAAAAATGCATTCAATGACCACTCTAAAAAATGCTGGGATGTTTTAACCCCATTTTGGGTCAAATATGGAAAACTCAAACATTGGGTTAAAAATGTAATTTAAAAATATAACCCAATGGCAGGGTTTGTCCATATTCGAACTTAATAACTTAAACACAAATACTGCCAAAGCTCTATGGTCAATTAAAAAAAAAAAGACAAACCCTAGAATGTACACTGATAAAAATGATTTTGTGGTGAAGTAAATACTACAGAAAAAAACAATGTAATTTACATGAAAAAAGTTAGTTCAGGCAAGAATTTAAAAAAAGGTAAATTCTATAGTAGTACTCAATTCAATCGTGTAAAAATGTAAGCGTAAATATCAACTTTATAAAATTAAGTAAAACTACTCAACTTTTCTGATACTGGTCTTCCCATCATGCACTGGGCCTTGAATAATTAATTAGGTTTATTTTTCACTGTTTTCACAGTTTGTTGCTCTTTTTTATCATTGCTTTTGTTGTTAGGATTAGTAACTTGCCATTTTGTGACATTTGGAGTTCATTATCTACTTAAAATGACACATTCAAACACAAAAACGATCCATCAATATTTGTGTATATGATCCATACCGTCATTGTGTATTGTCTACCAAGTTTTGAGGTCTGCGTTCACACATGTATTTTCAGAAATGAAGATGTGGTGACACACACGCTATATGCATCGACGATAAACCTTTCTGAGTAAATCATATACTTTCAATCATATACTAAAAAAGTGTAGTCTAATTCAATGTTATATTGTTTGAGTGAAATGTAGTGCAAAGAAAAAAATCAATGAAATACATATTACTTAACCTTTAATTAGCTATTTAAATATTACTTAATTTCTTACGTTACTTTCACTTAACTTAGTTAAAGGTTCTCTAAGCGATGCTGGGCAAAAACATTTTTTTGTCACATACATCAAACGTCTCCTCACTATCGGCTAGCTGCCTGTCCCCTAAACACACTGTAAAAAAACGCGGGGTCCCACTTTATATTAAGTGGCTTTAAGTACCATGTACTTACATTGAAATTAATAATTTGATACAATGTACTTATTGTGTACATACATGTTTTTACATTGTACTTATATTTAAAAAATACCAGCATGTAGTTACAGCGCTAATTAATTTATGTAATTACAACTGTAATTACACAGCTGACCCATCCCTTACACTTAAACCTACCCTTAAACCTACCCATACCACCACACCTGTCCCTAACCTTACCCATATCACACCTCAATAGCACCAAAAGTGATTTACAATACAACATGAGCACAATAAGTACATTGTACTTATTTTTTAATGTAAGTACATAGTACTTAAAGCCACTTAATATAAAGTGGGACCAAACGCGGTCTCTGTAGACACCACAGGCTCCACAAACGGCAACAAAAACAATCATGTCTCACCCGGACCACGAAACCTAACAAACAGTGTTCCAGCCAATCACTGGCAAGAAGGTATACGAGGGTGGGTCTGGGGGGTTAGTGCACGTGCACATGAAGGGTGTGTGTATGTGAAGGAGATAGAAGCATCAGAGGGACGTTTGAAAAATGGCCGACACACGACCAAATAGACGTCGTTCTGAAGAACAAATTAAAAAGAAGGAGTCGGATAAAGAACGTGCGAAGTTCAGAATTTACATCGCTAGCAAAGCTTTTGAACGATGTCGAGAACTCCGGCGGCAGAAGGGCTTCCAGTCCGACATTCAGGTTGCTCTGTTTTTGCTGGACAGGTGGGTAACGTTAAATTGTTTTGTTTTTCTTCTAAATTGACGTTTTATGTTCGCCAAACCCACACAAGGATATAATTAGCTAGAACTATGCACGTTCACAATTATTTCAGGAAGCACGGAAGGGAGGGGGAGGAGATGAGATGCAGCGGAGGGAGGGTCTAGCTAGCCTCCGATTTGTTTTAAAATATTCCAAACGTCAACAACACCCAGGATCGCTCAGAGAACCTTTAAATATGGTTTACTTAATTCTATGTGTGAAATTTACTCAAAAAATATCAGTCAAAAACTTGCCCTAAAAAAATTAAGTAAATTTTACTCATTGTTTTTTTTACAGTGTGCTGCTAATTTTGAAATATATTATCAATGAAAACTATTTATTTATTATTGACCCGGCCTAATGAATGTCATTTTCATATTTCTTAGACATACGATGGGAAAACCATTAGTTTAGTTACCAGTTGCTATTGTGCTCTGAAAGCATAAGCTGAGTTGAGACATGTATGGTGTGTTTTGGTAGTTTTACTTCATCTTGAATGTGAGATTTACTGCTGTGCCAAGCTGAAAGTTGGCAAGGGGAATTGTGTGAAGAGAAAAAGTGACCCTGAGAATTGTGTCCTAGCAACGGATAAAAGCAATAAATCAAATAAAGAAACATACAAGTTTTATGTACAACTACTTTATTTCAATATTCGTACAAATTGATATACTCAGCGGGCAGTATGCAGTACAGCGCCCCCTAAATGCCTGGAGGACAAAGCACAACGCATCAAGGCAGCGGTACAATCAGCGATCAACAACTGACATCCACTGAAAGAATAAAGAACAAAGACCAATAACAACAACACTTCAGAAGCTAACAGAGTAGTCAAAACAATATGAGGTTATTGGGATATCAGTCCACTGTACAGAAGGAATGGAGGGTTTTTACCAAAAGCCTACAGGTTACTAGTGCATTCAGAGGAACCATGCTGTTTTCACACCTCTAGATGCCCCTTATGGTACATATACCTGTTCAGATCTTCTCTTCAGCTATTGGCTTGTTTTGGTGCAGCTGATCTCCAAAGCACAGATTGTGAAAAATATTGTACAAAACCTAAGCAAAGTCTTCACTATTAAGGGGCTTCTAGTCTACAACTCAGTACAGTTCTCCATGTAAACAGAATCAGATTGATTACATTCAACCAAAGAGAATTCAATTAACCATTGAAGATCTAAACATAATTAATACTAATATAAATATCTATTGTACACTTTAAATAGGGGCATGCTAATCAGTAGCTTTTTCGAAACACTACAAATAGCAGACCGTCAAACAAAACCAAATATGGTGACAGAAGTAGAAGCCGTCTAAAAGCAAGAAATCAGTCAACAAAGGGGAAGTGAAGTGGTTCGGTGGTCTCTATAGTGAACACAAGGGGCAGGAAGACCTTAGAGAGGGCAAGAGAGGGAACGAAACCTCTCCTGCTACAGACGAGAATACCCTCTGAATATTCAATATACAACAGCCACCAGCTAAATATACACACAAGAAGCATATCCAGTGGGAAAATGAATCTTGGAAGGATGACAAAAATAACAATAATGGAGTAATAAAGCAGTACGCCAATCAAGGTAAAAACATAGTGTGCGTCCATGCAGTGGAGAAATATTCCAATATGTTTAAATACATGGATTACTAGACATCAAACAGTGCATCCCTTCATTAGACCCGCTTTAGTTTTTGTATACTTGCTCTCTGGCCACAAGGGAACAAGTAGACAAAGAATGAAAGACCAAGCCAGAGTGGGGGGAAAAAAAACCCAAATCGGACAGAAAGCGGTCTGAGGTGCAGAAGGGTAACACGCGTATGATCCCGGGTGAAATGGTGGCTTGGTTCTGGGTGCTTTAGCAGGACACCTCCATGGTTTGCGGTCTGGTCTGGTTGTCGAGGACTGAGCCGCCAGTGGCGCCTTCCACCTGTGAACTGGTATGAGCGCGGCTGCGTGTGCCGTCCGCTGAGCCCATGCTGGAGGAAGAGTGAGTGCGGGACCGGGACAATCGGGTCATGCCGGCAGTGGGCACTGAGAGAGAGAGAGAAGAGAGAAATCGGACAGAGCTGAAAACATGTACAGACTAATGCTGCTGCATGACAGTTGGAGGATCCTGAGTGAAGGCCATGTGCTTCACAGGAAAGTCAGTTTCGCACCCGGATCCAAACATATGGAGATCCAGGAAGGGGAGAATAATGAGTCTCCTCAGAGTGAATGAACACATCTACACATTGCTGACTGCTTAACTAACGCTGAACTGATTGAGATACTACGACAATCTCAAACTATGGTTGATAAGAATAGTAAGCTGAATCCCAATTCATATACTTCTTATACACCATTGATGGAGATTTGCAACAGGAAAGCTAAATTGGAGCAGGACTGGGTTTCGAATTGGGTATATTTCATTTATTAATGTGCCTTTTGATTAAATACAGAATGAAACAAATTATCTCTCTGTGGCAGAGTTTCAAACCGGTTTAAAGGGATAGTTCACACAAAAATGAAAATTCTGTCAGTATTTACTCACCCTCATGTTGTTTCAACCCCGTAAGACCTTCGTTCATCTTCAGAACACTAATTAAGATATTTGTGATTAAATCTGAGAGCTGGATCACTCCTGCATAGTAGTCCATAGGCTTCTTGAGGGATTGAAACTTGCCGGCCTCGAAAAGTTATTAAAGACATCGTTAAAATAGTCCAAGTGAATACAGTCAATCTTAACTTTATCAAACGACGAGAATACTTTCTGTGCACAAAAGCAAACGACTTTGTTTCAACTATTAATGTCCTTCTCTTTGGGCCTCTAGTCGGTTAAACGTCACACGTAGGCTCACTATTGGCTGACGCTGGTCATGTGTGTATGCGTGTGACGTACGACAGATCGCCCAGAGAGAAGGAAATTAATAGTTGAAATAAAGTCGTTATTTCTTTTCTTTTTTTTCTTTGCGCACAAAAAGTATTCTCGTCGTTTGATAAACTTAAGATTGAGCCACTGTAGTCACTTGGACTATTTTAACGATGTCTTTAATAACTTTTTGAGGCCGGCAAGTTTCAATCCCTCAAGAAGCCTATGGACTAGTATCGAGGAGTGATCCAGCTCTCAGATTTCATCAAAAACATCTTAATTTGTGTTCCGAAGATGAACGAAGGTCTTACGGGGTTGGAACAACATGAGGACAAATACTGACAGAATTTTCATTTTAGGGTGAACTATCCCTTTAAACCAGGAACTATTCAAAGAGCTCATAAGAGTCATTTTGTTTTGGGAATTGGGCAACAATAAATAAAAATGAATCGGACTACAGTATTTACATTGTGTGTTTGGGCCGTTTACACCTGGTCACTTCATGCATCTGATTTGTTAAAATGGTTCACTTTACACATAGATGTGTCTCCGCACAACAAACATAAATCTGATCTTCAATTTTCGTGCATAAACCATTCACATAAAAAAAGCAAGATATGAGCTGTATTTTATTCATCATCAGCTAATTTCAGTTTCGAGTTTTCCAGTTTCGTCAGAAATGTGTCTCATACCACCCCCTGAATGGCTTTATTGATCGGATTTAACATCTCGAAAAAGAGTTTCGAGGGGCATTTACACCTGGTCTTTTCACGATCAGCTATCCGATCACAGAAAAAGCTTGAAGTGAGCATGTGCAAACACACCTTTTGGGGGCCTGTGAAAAACTGAAAATCTCAAAAACCCATCAGTAACACTTTGACTTACTACTTTTTAAATCCACTACGATTCAGAACAAAGTAACTTTAATATTATACAGGATGGATAGTATGCAAATTTGGGATTCAGACCTAGATACCCTTAGAACAAAGTCTCTTCTGAAAACATGGTGTAAAATAGAGTGCTGCAAGGATGATGCATTTTTAAAGGCTAGTCTGGAACTTCGAATCAGTCGTTCCCTCAACTAGGATATTTCCATTGGTTTTTGGATCGTTACAGAAAATAGGCTCTGTGACCCGACCATCAATATAATCTTCACAGACGAACACAACTTTTATTGATTTTGAAGACTAAATATAATCCCCCGAAGTAAACTATAAACGAAATAAACCACGGTCGCATGACTTCAACATCACAACTGTAGCTCAATCGTTCTTTAAAATTTACAAGTTGGAAAGAGTGGGAATAGAATGAAAGTGTGCGAGTATTAACACTACAAGGCTGTAAAAGTGAGTAGATGAGTTTTTCTTGTGATGACGTGCCCAACAATCTCGGTAGTCCCACTTATGCCTGGTTCAGATTACACGATTTTTTTGTTTGTCTGTTACGATAGTCACTAGGTCAGATTGCACGATTTTGACTCCTAAAATCTTGTCGTGTCGTGGACAAGACACACGTCAGACTACACGTTCCTTCCTGACCAGTCATTGCATGCCGTCTTTAACAGCGCGCGTGATGTCATCGAGAAGGCGAAACTAGTAGCGAGTGACTTCTGGAAACGAATGTAAACAAACAATGGATGAAGCGGTGAGTGTTGTATTGGCTGTCCTGTGTTCAGAAGAAAAGAAGAAAAAAAAGAACGAAAACCCAACAATGGACACGTTCCTGGATTGCTCGAAGAGGACAGTATGGGTTGTCATTCCTCCAAAGAGAACCTGAGGTAAAATATTGTTTTCTTATATATTTTTACTTCTAGTTTTAAAGTTAGCTTTTAGTTTTAACGATAGCACCATCGTCTCTCTTTCGTTTCGCCATTTTTGAAAGTTGTGTACGGAAAAGCTTCTGTGCTCCTATTGGCCAACCTCATACATGTGACGGAACCATCGTGGATGACCGTTAAAAAATTAAACATGCAAGTCTTTTTGTCGTGAAGCATCGCAGACGCAACGTAGGGTGTCGCCCACTATGACACACTATACGAGATGATGCGATCGAATCTTGCGTCCCGACGGCCGTTGTTGTTTACGAATCCCCACGACACCCTACGTCAAACGGATCATGCCAAAATCGGGCTAAAATCGTGTAATCTGAACCAGGCATTACAGTTCAGCCACTGCCTTTTTTCCAAGCACTTAAAAGTGTGAGAGAACCACATGGGCTGTTACTGATGTACTTTGTGTCATTTAATGAAATGCGAAAATAACTACAGATCGCATTCCAAGCATTTAACCAAAAATCCATTTAAAAAAACCCATTGACTTATGGACGATGGAAATGTAAGCTCAATAATTGTACACTGTTTCCAGGTTTTAGGACTCACTCCTGCAGCACTCTATGCATAAATATCCGAATCTTGAGGCGACGCGACCACTGTTTAGACACTGCATTCATTATTCTCCCATGAAGGAAAGAGAGATCTCGTGTCAGGATCAAGCTCAGATTCATTTTGCAAAACCACTGCAGCAAAATGAATAGTCAACTTCAGTCAATGCAGAATGTGGCATGCAAAGTAAAGGCATGTTTCTAGGAGAATCATAAAAGAACATAAGATGCCTGTTGATTGTGGACAGTGTGAACAAACATTCTCTCAGACAGCTCATGACAATAAACAAACATTAACACATATGTCTATTTACCATGCTTCAAACGTCATGATGCAGAGCCACAAAGACATTTGTATGCAGGTGATTGGGACATGGACGGATAGACAGTGAGGACAGGAGGCACGGGAGGTTAGGGTGACAGGCTTAGGTGCAGCTAAAGGTGTTGGCTGATCTCCTGGTACCTGATTCGCTGTTCAGGTGGCTGAGTAGCACATGAGGGACTGTTGGCATTGGTTGTAGGGGTCAAGAAAGAAGATTGGGAAAGGGAATGCAAGAGGAGGAGGAGGAAAAAGATGGGACAGAGGAAAGGGAGAGATTATTTGGTAGTACTTTTTGAAAGAGAGAGGATTGAGAAAAGGAAATATTAAGGAGCAGACGCGAGGAAAGTAGGGGACGTTAGACTGGGTGATGGGAATAGCCTTGACTGTTAAAATTCCAAATGCAAGAAGAGTGACAGCCAGAGGCAAAGGATTTATTTCTGAATGGTTATGATTCCCTTTTACACATATCCAATTGTCAAGGCTTTCAGGTGTCAAGGATATCCACTACAAATTGAACTAAAAACTAAATGAGATGAGATAAGACTACTACTGTATCATTCATACAACACTTAAACCTAAAAACACAAGAAAATATTGTCAAACATTGAAAGTGCGAAAAGAGAAAGTAAGAGTAGCTCTGTAGAAGGGAAACGGTCTTCTGCTGGGATAGTCCCTCATGAGTGCGGGTTTGCACTAAATAAATATCACACCCGAAACAGCAACCAAGAAAAGAACAAAAACACACTTAACAGACTCAAAACACAAAGTGGAAATTACCAGTGATACCCTCCCTCTACTGCCACACAATGACAGAATCAGCCAATGAATGTATTAGGCTTTCTTAATGACTCATTCTGCATACACTAATATTTCCACAAGACAAAAGAAGAGTTACACCCATACAGATAGATGTATATTAGGTACTTTTCCTGTCTGAATCAAAAGCTTACATGTGTACGAAGAGTCAAAGATCACTATAAGAATTTAGAAAAAGTGATTAGGAGTTAAAATTACGCTTTTAATCAAGGGTCAAATGCGTATAATAGTGTGTCGTTGGCATTTTCACACCTCACTTGTTTGGAGTGTTTGTTTTGAAACCTGGCAGGCTTTCTCCCTTAGTTCAGTCCGTACAGGTATATGAACATATCACTCGGATCCACACCAGAACAATCCGCACGAGATCGCCTGAACGAGGTGGTCTCGGCCTGCTTGGAAAACTCTGGAGAGGTTTGCTTGTGGGGAGAAAGCAATCCGACCCAAAGGACCAATGAACCACGCTGTATAGCAATGTATAATGGGCAATTACGTATGTTGCATGAAAAGCAGCAGTGTTTGTTTTGCTAAAGCTTCTCAAATTCGTGGGTTTACCTGGAGCAAAGACGAAGTGAAACGCCTAATTTAAATTTGGACAAATATATTTCCAGCCCATTCTCACTCCCAAGGCGTCACCTAACTAACTCCTTGGGAAGCATTTGACCATGCTTCAATATCTGACGCTTTAGGCGCCCTTTAGCGTCAGTTAGATGACGCCCTAGGATTGCGTGTACCCTTCCCCCACCCCACACCTAAACCTAACCGCGTCCTCTAACTGACGCTTTCCTTTAGCGTCAGTTAGATGACGCCGTAGGATCGCGTCATGTAAGTGACGCTAAAGGGCGCCTAAAACGTCAAATATTGAAGCATGGTCAAAGGTGACGCCTTGGGGTGAGAATGCGTTGATATTTCAGATCTACAGAGGCGTATTGCATTCACTTGAAGAAAAAAAAAATTTACTCTGTTTTTGTTTTTCTGAATGAATGAGTTAATTTTTCATGAGAAAATTTATTTTTGCCGTTTTTCTAAATTAACTCATTAATTCAGAAAAACAGAGCAAAAAAAATTCTCATGAAAAATTAACTCATTAATTCAGAAAAACAGAGCAAATTTTTTTTTCTCATGAAAAATTAACTCATTAATTCAGAAAAAGAGCAAAAAAAAATGTTTCTCATGAAAAATTAACTCGTTAATTCAGAAAAACAGAGCAAATTTTTTTTTTCTCATGAAAAATTAACTCGTTAATTCAGAAAAACAGAGTAGATTTTTTTTCTTCAAGTGAATGCAATACGCCTCTGTACAGATCAACTGTCCAAAACACAAAAATATATCGAAGTTTACAAGGTGTTTAGTTAGCATCTCAAAGAGATGGGCTTTAATCGTCTGATTTAATTTCAGAACATAAACCTAATCGACAGTTTACTCGCACATGACTTGTATTATCAAATTATGGAAATGCTGCCTTGTAAAAGCCAACCAAACTAAGAAAAAAAGATGCAACACTGTACCAATTTTGATGCCGTTTCGGAACAAAGCAAATGATCTTAAAACGCCTTGTCAACGAGTAGGAACAGGTGTATGCAGGGTTTTTGCATAAAAGTGACATTTCAAACATCTGGGGTGTAAAAATGCACTGGTGTTTTGCGATGCATCATATTCAACAAAGAAAATGCCATGCTTTGATTATGGATTTTAATAGTTGACAATTACTGTAATCATTTTTTTGTATTGCATATATAAAGTGCCGAAGTTACGACGTCACTCTGTAGGCCAAAACGCGGAAGTGAGTTAGCATTTAGCACTCCCGGTTCCCTCGCTCTAAAGTCTATGGGATTTTTGAATGGGTTTTTGCTAAATCGCCTGAAATAAGGTCTGTGGTGAACAAAGCCTCTACATATTTTCACGTTTTGATCTGTGACATAAAACACACAGTTATAACCTGCTTGTGTTTTTTAAAACATATAGGCTTCAAAATTTATACATTTTGAATTAACTTGTAAAGATTATATTGATTGACAAAACACAGATCTTGTTTTTTTTTGCGATTTTCCAAAAGTCTATGGGGAAAATGCATTGCTTTTCGATCGAGGGTCATCACTTCGGCACTCTATTATTATTATTTAATTTTTAAATCTAATATTCATGAACTGTATGCTGTAACTGCTGGTCTGTTGTTTCATAGTAAATATTCAGTGAATTTTTTCCAACAATTTATGAAATTATCTATTTAATTGATCAATAGTATCATAAATAAACTGACCAAATTTCATAATCACTGATAATGATGAAGTCAGAGCAAGTTGTACACAAACAGGGTCAAAGAGGCACAAATCTCTCACAGTGTGCTAGTTTCCTAAAGGAGGGCTGTGTTTCTCAGTAGAAGCACAAAAATAGACTTACAAAAAGGTCAACCGATCTCAGGATCAGATTAGAGATTATGAAGGAGAACAGTGACTAATCGTGTCAAAATGTGCGCATTTTCAAATGAGTCAGGCCGCTTGCGATCACGTTCCTCACACTCTCAGAACACCCAATCACTAATAACTGTTGCTAGTCGTGTCAGACAGAAACACTCTCTGGACGGTCCAACCAAAAGCTTACCAGGTTTGCACGAGAGCTCAAAGGTTTGGGTTGATAATTACTTTCATTAAGCAAGGATACATTAATTCATCAAAAGTGATCATGAAATCAACAAGAAGTGACATATAAATGCTAGAGTTGAATGAATAAATGCTGTTCTTTCAAACTTTCTATTCAAAGAATCCTAAAAAAAAAATTCCATAAAAATATTAAGCTGATACTACTAACAGCAGCAAATCGGCATATTATAATGATTTCTGAAGGATCATGTGACACTGAAGACTGAATAAATGACATTATAAAATATATCAAAATAGAAATGAATTAAAAATCTATTATAATTAGTTGTAATATTATTGTTGCTGCTGTACAGTATGTTTGATCAAATAAACACAGCCTTGATGAACATGAGACTTTTTTCAACAATATTAAAACCTTATTATTATCTATTGGCATAATGATAATGGCAAGCGAAGCCTAAAATATTGATACTGTTGACAGGCTACTCTAATTGAAAACCACGGTTCACAGTAATGCTAGTAGTTGTGAATAACACTTGCAAACCCCTGAAAGTGAATGCATTCATGAAAATATCTCTTTGAGCTTATGGAAATTCGAGGGCATTTCATTTTCTAGGTATTTCAGGTGTGATTCGCATAACTGTACGTAAATCATAATATCCATCTACATTGTTTAATTTTAAGAGAATTTTTGGGATTCTTTATAGGCTTGCCGAAACCTCTGTGTAAACAAACCATTACTTTTCCATCAGTTCAGTGCTGCAATAGACAGTGCTTCAGTACACTTCACCTTTAAATACCACCACACACACACACACAAAAGTATTTCATTTTTATATCACTGAACTGAAATCTAGTCTAAACATAACCATATAAACATCAGACAGAGCTGAATGAAGCTGAGGTCTGAACGCTTGAGGTTTTAAAGCAATAAAGTTCCCATGCTATGCAAATCAGTCAAAGGATCTTTTAGGGCCTTGAAGATCTTAAACCTGAAGATCAGAGAAGTCACACAAGGCTCATGCCACACATCATGCTCTTTGAGGAAGACTAGTGTACTTACACGATGAAGAGCGCATCACTGAACGGCCACACGGAAGACAAGTCAAGTGTTAGTGCATCCGAGGGCTGATCTGAGACCTGCTTTACTCAAGAATACTGACTGGACTCAGATCAGCAGTGGATAAATGATCCACTGAGGCAGATTATGGTTATTATCATGTTCTTAACATCTGAGGGTCCAGGATTTGTGTCATTTTCCTGCTGCTGTTTTAGACGTTGTTATATTTATGACTTAAAGCACTGGGGACAAACAGTATGATGCTCCAACAACAAGATGCTTTCAGACACGAAATGCAAACAAGAGACAAATTTCATACAAACAGTAAATATAAATATAGACTGAGAAAGACGATCCGATCAAACGCTCAACATTAAAGTGGCCTATGAGAAGAGAAAGAGGACAGACACTTACTGTAGCCCATTCCCTGGACAAAGTACTTGAAGGCCTCAGCGAGTTTACCCGGCTAAAAAGAGAAAACATCCACATTTAATACAAGTCAAAACTACATCAAACGGATGAAGTGGCAGATGTAATGGTGTTGTCTTTTATTCTTACTTGGACAACTTGGGGAAGTCCACCACAATCTGCCATCTGAAGAAAGAAGGATACAATAATAAATACATTCTGTCATACTGAAAGAAAAATAAAAAATAAATAAAAAAAAACAGGGATGCAAACTCATCAGGGGTGAAAAGAAAATTATTAGCTATAATTAAAATGTGGATTTACAGTCATGTGGATATAGGGAAAAACTCTCAGGCCACAGTGACACTATTGTTTTTTATGGAAACCATTCAATATCACTAAATAATAATAATAATAATAATAAATGTATTATGTTATTAAAAGCAAAAAAACAATATATTACAATAGTTATAATACTATTGTACTGTAAAGTTAAAATAATAATTTTATTTAATAGAAGTAAAGTATCTTAGAGATTTAATTTAGATGGAAAACTGCAAGGAGACAACACATTTATAAACGATTCATATACAAATTTGTGAAAATAGTTTGGGTTTTCAAATACATATGTAACCCCTCCACCCGGGTCCAACTCGACCCGCTCCGAATAAGGTTATATACCTTTACTTATATTCATTATAGAATAGTTCACCCATAAATGAACAAGTTATCACCATTTCTTTTGTGTACAGCAGAAGAAAGAAACTCATACAGATTTGGAACAACATGAGCATGAGTAAATAAATGGCAAAAATGTCATTTTTTGGATGAAAATGTGAGTAACATCTCTTTATGTGAATCCCTTTATTCAGATAGTTGTAGTCGTACAGCATGGAAGTTGGGTTTGGGGGCCTGAACTAGTTGATACAGGAAATCAGCAGCCTAATAAAGAGGTTGACTGGCACAAAGTACTTTATGTATCTAAAAAAAATACAAAAACACTAAATGTAGGTATTTAATTTGTGCTGTCAAACGATTAAAATATTTAATCGCGATTAATCGCATTAATGTCATAGCTAACTCACGATTAATCGCAATTATTCGCACATTTTTATCTATTCTAAATGTCTCTTGATTTCTTTTTCTCACATTATTTTTCTCATTTTAATGCTCTTATCAACATGGAAAAGTGGATCGGCTGGCTTTGTGCAAATGTTTTTTATTGAAAACAACATTAGCGTATACTGTGTTGCCACATTCTGTTGCAAAACATGTGAAAGCAAACTGCAAAGTTTGCTTGGCCAAAAACACTGTTAATTGCGCGATAAGAAATTGACGCTATTAAAATGGGTTTGCGTTAACGCCGTTAATAACGTGTTTAACTGACAGCCCTAATTCAAATACAAATTAGAATTGTTTTTTTTTATCAAACTGCCGGTGCCTGATTGATGATATAAATGTTTGCCAAAAAGTTTGCATCCCTCAATCAAAACATTGTTCTAGAAGGGGAAAAGCTGTCGTGCCTTGAGTAAAGTAGTCTTGGTTGGATTTAACCTCGAGTTGCATTCAACCTGTGAAAAAAGAAGATAAAATGGTCAGTTCAGAAACAGAATACAAGGAATAGACAGATACAATGAACAACTCTGCTCTAAACCAAACTGTTTAAAGTGTTGTGTTATTTAATACGCAAACTCAGCAGGTGCCAAAACTTTAAGTACAAAAGCTGTTACTTAAGGATTTTAGCACAGATGGAATTGCTGTATTGGCCAATCTGTGTCAAATACCAGAAGTACGAATATTATTCCCTTTCTGCACATGTATGGACAAGTCAAGACAAGTCAATCAGTAATTCAGAGGTGCTTTACAACAAGCACAAGTGCATAAGATGTTATGATGATTAGCCCCATATAGGATGTGATGACACTGTTAGAGTCTGAACAGAAAAACGGCGCAATGATAAAAAAAAACACACTGAGCCGTTTAGGAAGCACACTGTGTTCCTGCAATAACAGTGTTTTTGATAAGTCACTCACCACAGCATCTACCGCTGGTGATGTGTCACCAACTATTAGCAGGGAAGGACATCTAAACAGCAAGAGAAGAGACATATAAAAGTGAAAGTGATCAGGACACCATGATTTAATAGCCATAAAATAGACAACCAATCAACATACTTCAGTGTTTTGACTGTATTTTCATTAAGTCCCGGGACGGGCCTCTCAATCTCCAGATCTTGCCGACTGTAATAATAACAGAGAAAAAAACTTTAAGATCAGCTCATATGACAAGGATCAGTGTGTGAACTGGACCTAGATCAGGGTTTTGATGATGTCACCTGTTGTAGGATTGGCAGAAAAGAGCCAGGTTGTCCTGATTGATGTCTTGAGCGATGTGCAGACGGTATGTTTGAATGATCTCCTGGTTCTCTGTCAGCTCGTCCTGAGGTACAAAAACTCATGAACGAGATGTTCAGAGAGAATAATATCACAGATGCTGTGGTGAATATCGTATTTGAGACCTACCGTGCTGAAATGGTGTGCCATCACGATGTCTATTAGATTGCTGGTCCATCCAGACAGCTAAAGCAGAAACACACAGACACAGTGAAAAGCACAACCCTTAAAAGAGATGTTTGAGAAGATCATACAAATCTTGTTCCCAGCAATGTTCACATCCACTGACTTGAGCACTTTTCATCATTGTAGCAATCTGACCTGTAAGGTTATTATGCGCTTTACAACAGGGCAAATCTTAAGAAGATCAAGCACACTAATCTGTTGAGAAATCTTAAGTATGGAGGAATTATTAGAGTTGGCTTGTAGCTAATAATGGAAGTATAATATATAAAGTATTTTTTACTGGGAAAAAATGTGCATAATAGTCAAATAAATAAAAGACAAAAAAAAAAAAAAACACAATTGCATGAAATTTTGATTAAATTAAAATGCAAATAACCACCAGTCTCAACATTATTTTTTGAAAAAAATAAATAAATAAATAAATACATAAAAGAAAAAAAAAATACAAAGTCTACTGTGGCAGATGGGTAACCCAATATGTACCAATATTTTGTGTGCTTTATTTCCATATTATTGGCCTATTCTCCACAGTTTGCAGCTCGTCATTGGGATAATACCTGTATAATTTTTTGTATCATTTTATAATTATTAATTTAATAATTATCCCCACTAAACTAACAAGTTAATTTAATAATAATCTGCACTAAGCTAATTTGACAGCGCATTCATAATTTTACCTTAGAGGCAGCCCAGTCGATCCAGCCCTTAGCACAGGGGTCCACATTGATGAGAACCAATCCCTCCACCAGAGCAGGCTCATTCAGCTAGAGAATGACAACACATGGATCAGTCCATCATTGCTGCTAATGCTAACACTGATTTTAACCCTCACGGCATCCACTGACTGAGAGGATTAGGTGCATGACTGAGCAGACTAATGAGGCAGATACTTTTGACTTTTTTGTGGCATTGCTTTGCTACCTATAGACTTGTCTGGGTCTAACTCAAACGCATTGCTATTGACCTGACTGGGAGCACAAAAGTATCACAGGAAACTTGTTAATTTAAAAAGATGTCAATAGTTAACATAAAATCAAAACTGACTCTATTTACATCCTGAATACTCTTTCACGCTCTTATTGTGCATTAATGCTCATTAATCTAAAGGGTAATAAAGGTTTGTCTTCAAGAATGATCATCAAACGAGATGATAAACAAACTGCAACATGTTTTCTTTTTGACCAATTCTGCTGGTTAATGGTTAATGTTGAATAATGTTACTAGCCAAGCAGTTGTTTGAAGAGATGTAAATTTTGTCATCATTGTCACCCTTTTTTTATGTGTCGGATTGGTGCGAGTCTGTTGCTATCTGTCGGAGCTTGTTTTTGCCAATTGCTGAATCGGTGTTAGAAGTCTGAGAAGTGACGGGCTGTAATCTGTTGACTGTCGGCGCAGTGTGAATTGGCCTTTAGGGCTGTACCGGTAAACTTGAGAACTGCACCGTCACGGTGGATGATTAGCACCGGCGGTGGTCCGCCAAAACACATTTTTGGTATGTGAATGCTATTTTACATGAATATTATGACACGAGTGAAGCACAAAGCTTTGTTTATAAAATAAATAATAGGTTAGCAGTTAAATGTTACATCGCAGAAATGGAAACATCATAACGCAGGGTGCCAGACTGTGACCAAATTGGTCGCATTTGCGTTAAGTTGAGTTAAAATTGTATGTGGTCGTATAAGTGCGAGTGGACGCTCACGCAACAGAACGCCATTGTATCAGCTGCTGCAGTCCGTAACTAATGTTCAAAATGAACGAGTAGGCTACATCATGAATCCATTTTCCAAAACGTGTTTTTGACTTATCCTGAATCACTACGGTACGCCTATAATAAGTGTTTATATTCAGACTATTTTATCCGGGGGTCGACTCGGAAGCGGAGTTGCCCAGTGCCTACGTGACTCGCCATAGACATTAATGGAGAGAAGTAGCTCCGGTGGTTTTCCGCAAGACTCGTGCAGTTTATTTATAGACGAAGACGAACGTAGACGTCACGCGCATTGTACACTGATGGTGAAAGGCGCCAATATTATGAATTCACGAATATATATATATAAATGAAAATCCTGAAATTTGGCAAGGATAATTTAATATATTACAGGTGTTTATGCTGCAGCCCAGAAAGCCTTTGCTAGCTTTGGTCCGTTAAAACCACTATTCATCAGCATGCATTGATTAATCACATGGCATGTAGCAAAAAAAAAAAAAGGTGCGACCAAATCAAATGCTGGTGCGACCAGTTCAACCAGTGGAAAAGTTCGTCACAGTCTGGAGCCCTGTGACGAATGAGAGAGTTGTGCGTGAGCCCACACATTTGAGTTTCGTATACTGGTTTGCGATCTGGTCACCCGGTTATCAGTGAATTTAAAGGGATACTCCACTTTTTTTGGAAATAGGCTCATTTTACCACTCCCCCAGAGTTAAACAGTCGAGTTTTAATGTTTTCGATTGTATTCAGCCGATTTTCTGATATTTAAAAGAATATCAGTAACCAGACAGTTTCTGGTCTCATTGACTTCCATTGTATATTTTTTTCCTACTATGGAAGTCAATGAGACCAGAAACTGTCTGGTTACTGATATTCTTCTAAATATCAGAAAATCGGCTGAATGGATTCGAAAACGGTGAAACTCAACTGTTTAACTCTGGGGGAGTGGTAAAATGAGCCTATTTCCAAAAAAAAAGTGGAGTATCCCTTTAACAATATTTAATTAGTTATTCCACTGGACATGAAAACTTTCCCAAATCAAGCGTCACCCATTTTTGAAGGGGATTATAAACGTTTTCTTCCTGGGTCTGCTTTTAATTAGGTCTATTAAATTTGTATTCTTTACTGTGGTAAAGTAGCCTTACTAGCCTACCTATTTACTTGCACTTCAAATTCTTTTTAAGTCTGTGCTTATTAGATATGGTGAGGCGTGTAAGTTTGCTTTCTCTCGCAGCGCAAAATCAAACATAACCTCGAGACAGTGACGCGTGAGCTCCACTGAAAGTCTTCTGTCCTATTGGTTGTCGCTCGCGAAAATCGCTTCTCATTTGCACAAAGTTGAAATTTCTCAACTTTTGTCGCTTGTCTCGTCGCTTGACAAGCCCACATTCTGTCGCGAACGATCACTGTCGCTTGTGTCGCCAGCACTCCATTGAAATGAAAGGGATCATGCCGCTTTGTCGCTGCGTGTCACTAGCGGTGTGAACGGGGCTTAAATGTCTTGCCCTTATGGAAGATAAAATTTGCTCTTCAGACCTTCTACAACAAGAAGAAAATATAAAGAAATCAGAAAAGAGATCGATGATCACTCTCAAAGCACAGAGTGGTCTGACGTCGTTGTGTGGAAATACAAAACAAATAGGTTTTTTTTTATATTTAACCTTATTATATTCAGTAAACCAGTATTTACTGATATTTTGTCAATGCTTTACAAGCACACTATCAGTTTCTTTGACGGAATTGCTCAAAACACGCATTCTGTTACAAAATGGATGTTTGAGCCTCGTTTATTATTATATTTTTATTTTAAAACAACCCCCAACCAAGCGCCACGACTGGTAGTTGGTCTATTATCACCGCGGTGGTAAAAAACTGCCACCGTCGCAGCCCTAGCCTTAACCTTAATTTAAAAAATATCACAGGACTGGTATTGAGGTAATTAGGATACATATAGATCCTCTCAGGCATTAAATCAGCCAGTAGACTAAGAAGTGTGTGCTGATGATGTTCTGGCCTATATTGTCTTGTTAATATTCTGTTTCAACCCAAAATACATCACATTACAGAAATAAGATGGCTTGAGAATGCAACAAAGCAAAGCCGTGCAGCTTTAATCTCAGCAGTGACCAAGCAAAACTGACGTGATTGACGTGACCTAACCTGCTATCGACATCAACACCTTAACCAAGTTCTCAGTATGTCAGAGTCCTGATGTACTGCAAGGGCTCACAGTGGTTTTTAAGAAGAACTTCAGCTATGGGAAGCTGAAATATATCAAACCTCTTGTGACCGTGATGGAAAATGGTTCAGGTTTCACACCTCTTAGTTTCTTCGTGTCTGAATAAGCCCAATCACTGGGGCTAGAAAGACATGCCGAGAAACGCAAGCATTCTAGGCAGTTCTCATGCAGGACCACATGTCTACAGACAAACATGTGATAACCAAGGTGTAATTCCAATGATTTTAAATAGTTTACACGTGCTGCAGTTAATCTGCTGAACTGCGTAGGTGTGTTAGTTACAATTGGCAGTCTGATTTCACAGGGCTTGACATGCAAGCGCGTACATGAAGCAGAAATACGAAAATGTGCATTGCAAGCTGTTAGAAGTATGAGAGTGTGATATGCTGGGCTGAAATAATGTAGTAGTATGAAGGCCATGGATAAGATAATTTTAGAAAAATATATATAAAATCTCTCTACACGTTGATACCATAGACTGTAAAAAAAGATGGACGACGCCCCTTCGCTCTTTTCCATCAGAGAGAACTGAAGCCGCCAGTGTCTTGATATGACGCTGACATCTTGCGTGTTTCGGGACCAGTCATGCGCAGTCGTGAGCAGGAAGTCATGTAACTCGTGTTTTTCCAACCTTATACCCGTGAAAGTGCACTGGAACGGCAGTCAAACCCGTGACTTCCCACCCGTGAACTCGTACTAGACCGATGTACTCCCAGTTACGAGTTCTGACGTCACATAGCCCGACAGCCCCTACGGATGCAGTGTTTCTGCAGGCGGTACACGGTGAGGACACTTTAGAACAATATAACGTTAACTAGTTTTCAGTCCATTGAGTGCAAGGATAAATTAATACCAATAAATTAGAAATTATTACAAATGCGCGTGAGCCCCGTAAGGTTCGCCATGCTGGTTTGTTTACATCTAGGTAGTTTGGCGTGAATGACCTGGAATGCTACAAAGTCGTAAGTCGTGGTTTGAAGTCGTGATTCACGTGCTCAAAAACCTGCCTGGAACGCAGCATAAAGCCGCGAAATCAAGGCCGCGCCCTCATTCTCGCTGAATCAAACGCAAGCACACGCCCCGCACTTTCAAAAGTGTCCTCTGTCTGCTTCGTTCTTCTCCAATGATGTCTGCTGATTGCAGAACCTCATTAAAATAAGGCAAATACAACTACTAACCACATTATCAACATTATTATAAAAAGTCTGCTGGTGCTTCAGTGACTACCTCGCACAGAGAACCTGTCAATCACAGCTGTCAATCATGATGTCATAGCGTCGCTATTTTATCATCACATAACTAACTAAAAACTTATTTTAAAAACGAACACTTAAAATTACATCAACGTGATAGAAACTACAGTAAATGACAGAAACTATTTTCGGAAAAAGGATATGTGAAGTGTATTTTAATTGTTTAGTTGGTCTCGCGTCCCATTGAATAACATGGGGTTATGAGCTATACTAGGACCGGTCACAGGGGGGCGATCGAGACGTTTTGGCTTCACTTTTGAGGGCTTGTGCGGCATGCTTGGTTGATACTAACCAGCAGGAAACATGAGCGAGTGTGTATGACGTCGTAATGAATGCGTTTATGAGGGTATCCATCTCCAGCGTGTATGTTTCTGCATAGATGGTGAATGAGGGCTTTGTGTAGGGTGAGAGTGTAAATGCATGTGAGTCTCTTATTAAAGCCTGAGAACAGATGGTTTTACTTCAATGATCTTCACCTCTGATGAACTCAACTTCATTCAGCTGCTCAATTACACATCTAATGGCTCGTTACCACAAGCTACTCCCAACGGTTGGTTATTACAACATACAATGACTAGTTGGTCTTTAAAACAAAATAAAATGGAAGATATTTTACTTACAGCGAGTCTAGAGAGGATATAAGCTCCAGCGCCCACACCGATACCAATCACACTGTTGATTCTGTTAAGGCATTTAAATCACTCATTAACTGGCATTTATCACTAAAAACACACAAATGATTTGAGACTTTAATAGAAGGTATGGCCATCAGGATTTTGTGAATGATTTTGGGGATGGAAGATTCGGACTCACTTTAGCTGAGTCAGAACTGAGGGCAGCATTTCAGCAAGCTCATCCATGGTGGGGTACTGGTACCTGAGGGCAACAATAGAGGCAACAATGGAAATTAGTCCAGCTTTAATTGTTTTCAAGTGAATGTGAAAGTACTGTATCAGCAGTTAAGGTGTGGTTACAGTAGCAAACTTTAGGGGGCATAAAAATCTGCCTATTGTCTATAGCATAGCCTTGTATGAAGCAGAGCTCACACAGAACACATAAACCAAGCAGTGTTGCGAAATCTCCACGAGAAAATCATTTGCCTTAAAAAGTAACATGGAGTTGGGCCGACACTGCCTGGGTGCGACTTTCAGGTTGCATACACTGGTCATAAAAGCAATTAGGTACAACAGATGAGTGAGTTTTCATGGTGGAACATGGTTCCTCATCAGTACACTGATTTGCATGCATTAGCACAGACCAGTTTTGTGACGTTAGGCTTCGATATATTATGGTTTTGAGCCAGAGTTGTTTCTTTGGTAGTCTGTCTTACCCGGTGGGGAAAGGAGGTGCAGATTCTTGCTGGCCTGGAGCATCAACATGGACCACAGCAAAGTGCTGGGTGATCTCCTGCATGTCCTCGAAGTTAAAGAGTGTGTTGAAACATGACTTGTCTGCGTCGCAAGAGAACAAAACACTTCTTTATTATCACAGACACTTCTCAAACACGTTTTTCACTAATCAACAAGACATTGTTGGCTTTTGGCTTTGTCTCCTGGCTTAATGTTGTATATACAGCATTATAATGGCAAATAATATGTATAGTTGTATGTAACCTGTAAAAATCTGAAGAGTTTGAAAATGTTGGCTAGATTTACTATATGAGGAATTATTTACCATTAAAAAGGTATGGATTACACTATATTTGGTATATATATGGTAAACAAGTACTGAGTAATATTAAGCAACTACATGTACTTACTATAGAGTTAGGGTAGGATTAGGATTTGGTTGAGGGTTAGTTGTAATTATGCATAATGTACTGTTATTACTATGGTAAGTACATGTAACATATGTAACAAGGACACTGTAAAAAAAGTGTTACCAAAGTATGTTCTATATAGTGTGAAATCCAGATGTACTGATTTGTCATGTACTGTATATGCCAGCTGCGTCCCTTTATGACCCTTCACGACTCCTCTCGTGGCCAAAGGTTATGTGCACTTTCGGTGGTAGGAGGGTCATCCGGGTATTTTAAGCCTACTGTTTTATGAATACTATGAATTTGACCCTATTTAATTTCAAGTACTGTTTTTCACCTACTATATAAAAGGGAAGTAGGCATGTTTGGACACAGGGTTGGTGTACCTCCAGGAACAGGGCTGACAAACACTGATCTAGACCACCCGTCCCCATATTCATCAAGTAGGTGAACTCTAATGACACATTCTGAGATTGGAAACACAGGAAAATTGGATACAAGTGACAACTTACGGTTGAGTCCGATGTCATGATAGGTGAGAATGACCGGCCGGTTGCCTTTGGGGGTCCCTCTCAAAGTCACGTGAAGGACACCGTGAGGAGTCTCAATGTCATGCTCCTGCAACCAATCAGATGATGACATGTGAATTACCAATAAAAGCACAAAAACATCAACTGTTTCAGCATGGAGGTGTAGGAGGTCATTCCAACGATGTCTGCATGAATATACACACAGTTTACACACATGGCCGGTAAACTTATTATTTGCAAGGAAATATCTTCCCAGCCAGTCAAAATTAATCTCCAAATCAGGCGCTAGTGCTGTCACAGTGACGACATATTCCCACTGGTAAATAAACATGAAACAACACCGGTATTACCGCTAATCCTGGAGCGGGGGGTGGACGGTATTGTATATATACTGTATATAATGTCACTCTTACTTTGTGTATAGTAGGGCCCTAAGAAATCCGTTTTATTTTTTCCCAAATTCCGTTTTATTTTTTCCCAAATTCCGTTTTTTTCGTTTTAATTTTTGGGAATTAGTTTTTTTTTTACCCTTGACTGTTTTAGTTGTAAAAATAGTATGCTTTTAAAGTTAATGATTAAAATGTATTACAATACAAATAAATTAGGAATGACCTTAAATTTATTGAGGTAAAACAGACATTTACTCAGTAGCCTTTTCAGGACAAATACTGCATGATGCAACATAACACTGCAATCTTCAAGTAAAAAAAAATGGTTATGAGCTTTAAACTGTCCAGTAATATAAATTATATTAGTTTATATAAGTTTAAATAGTCACACTCTTGTCTCTCATGGAGTTTGCTTCGCTTTTGTCCAGTCCGGCACCTCATAGACAGACGCGGTGTGCACGTCTTGTGTGTGTGTGTGAGAGAGACGGAGGGAGAGCGGGGAAATACAAGTGAAAGAATACGCTGCGTGTTTTATAGTGTTAAAATCCGAAACGCAGTATGTGACGATGTGGGATACACTGCTGACCTGCGAACTGCTCGGCTCGGCACTGACGGCTTATAGCGTCGAGTTTCTTAACTTTTAGCCGACGAAAGCAGAGCCGTGGAGAGCTGCTTCGCCATGCTTTCATTGTTTTGATTTCGTCATCGGAGCTGAAATAACGGGTTGAGGGGTTTGCGTCGCCCAGATTTGCTTCCCCCGGTCTGCATTTTCACCAGATATGCGTTCATCTCCCACACAAAAACAGAATTTCAAACCAAATAAGTAAAAATCCACGAAATTCCGCGTTAACAGTAGATTCCGCGTTAATTGGCCAATTGGTTAATTCCGCGATTCTGTCCTCGATTTCATTATCGCGGAAATCATAGGGCCCTAGTATAGGGAGCAGAGGTACTGGCCACACATTTGACAAGATAAGTTAATTGTCCATTATGCTTAGGATCTGATGCGCACCCAATCTTCCGCCATCTCTCATTAAGCCCAAAGTAAATTTCAGCCTATCTGTGTGCAGCCCATTTTTTGCGAAGAGTGCGAGTGACTTGAGCGCATTTAAACAAAATCAAGTATAACTTTGAATAGCTTGCGCGCTCAAGAGTGAGAGATGGAAAATTAAGTATACCCGGGCCTTTGATCTCGTCACGTGATAAGTGAAAGCTGACAGCTCGTGCTGTATGGAGCAGACCAAAGACTAACAGTTTATAATTGTTACATCCGTTGGCCAACTGAACTAAATGTTTTTTTTATTTCTACAAAAAAACAGTGCCTTGGTGGCTAAGTAATGTAAAATGGGGTGGTGATGGCGCAGTGGATAAGACACATGCCTTTGGTGTGAGAGACCCGGGTTCCAATCCACTGTGAGACACCAAAGTGTTCCTGAGCAGGACACTTAACCCCTAGTTACTCTAGAGGCGTGCGACCTCTGACATATATAGCAATTGTAAGTCGATTTGGATAAAAGAGTCAGCTAAATGAATATATGTAAATGTAATCGGTGTATGGCTGAACACAGAGGAATACTGAGTAACACAATCTACCACATCAGGCGCAAGCTCACAATTAACTCCTAAATGTTTGTTTAGCCTGTTTCCAAACAAATGAATGTCAACGTCAGTCACCCTCTTGTGTTTCATTGTGGTGTAGGTTTCGGCCCACCGTTGATGTTGTTTGTTGTTGCACATCACCACAGCCACCACTGCATTATACGTCAAAGTAAAAAAAAAAAAACCCTGCCGCCTCGGACAAAATGGACACCTCAGCTACAAGATCACACAAACAGGATGAGGTCTGAACCACAAGAAGGTGAGAGGCTAGCAGCACAATGTAGACTCCTAAGAACAGAAGAGCAGCAGGTCCGGCTCAAATCTCATTCCACACACAGCGTGAGGTTTCATTTTTCTGGATATGCCTGCAGGTTCACCAAAAGCAGCTCTGAAACGCGCCATAGGAGACTGACATTGTTTTGATGGAAACCTGCAGACTGCACACACACTTAAAGAAACACACAAGACCTTAATGACCTTAACTGACGGTCATTATGCACTGTCGCATTGAAGAGAAAGCGAAATCATTTATCTCATAGTTGATGTTAACAGACACAGGTAATGTCTCTGATGGAGATGTCTTAATCTAGAAATCATGCTAGCAGCTGACACCTGAAGCAAACCACAGCAGCGCAGACTGAAGGCAGCACGTTTAAAAATAGACAAGGCGGTTATGTTTGTGTGTGCACACACACATATTGCTCTCCATGACATCTCATGTTCGGTGATCTCTTGATGTATCATTCAAACGTCTTCAGAAACAGGTGTTTCTACAGTGGCACCATTTCTACACTGGACGTGAGCAGCCCCAGCCCGTTGTGACGTGACAAAACGTGGTCACTCCCTTTTATAATCAAAACTGCGCACAATGGAAACGACTGTTGCAGTGTGCCAAAAGTTGGCGGACACGTTTATTTTTGACGTGCTGAGCAAGAGAAAGCAAGTCTGAATTGATTGCTACACTATGCATTTTGTATGCTTACAACAGTGTCGAGTGGTTCACTGAATGATTATTCAAAAGTGTGGGGTTGGTATGATTTTTCTTTACGTCTCAATGAAGTCTCTTATGCGTATTTGATTAAAAACCTGCAAAAACGGTAATATTGTGAAATATAATTACAATTTGCAACAACAATTTTGTATTTTAGTATATTTGAAAATGTAATTTATTCCTGTAATGGTAAAGATGGTAAGGAATTTTCAGAAAGAAACCTTTCTGACAATTATTATTAATGTTTAAAAACAGTTGTGCAACTTATTTTACTGGAAACAGTGATACATTTTTTTCCAAGATTTTTTGATGAACGGAAAGTCCAAAAGAACAGCATTTATTTTAAATAGAATCTTTTGTAACATTATAAATGTCTTTACTTGAACTATGCATTGCATCCTGGCTGAATGAATGTATTTTAAAAAAAATATATACATGTAATAGAAACACTGCTTAAATTTGTTTTTAATTAATGGATACTGGCATTACAAGTCATAAGTAATTCAACCAGCAACAACAGATCACTTCTGAGCTACTTACAACATTACACCACAATAGGCAACCACAAGCAGCAGCGCAGAAATGGAAAAATAAGCGGTTTGGATGAAGCTGAAGGTACAAAAATGGCTAAACACTAAGCTTTTAATTGTTTTAACTACAAATCATTGGTCAAGAAGTGCTTTTGTTGTCGTAATGTGGTAAAAAGATGGAGATCCAGACCTGTTATTTAGCTAAAACTATTTTAGATTGCTTAAGTCATCTGCAACAGCAAGAAAATGATTTATCAAAACTCAAAAGGTAAATATGCTATACATTTTCTAGATCATGAATAGTATATATTTTTACCATTCACGACTCTCGCGGTGCTCTCCGCCATTTTGAAAAGTTCAAAGGTTATCTCATCTCAGCAACTCATCCATCAAAATATTCTACGAGTTGCCCAGTGGAAAATACCACATGAGGGGGTGTTCACGTCGGCTTTTGATATTTACCATAATTACCATAGCACATGAACGCAGCATAAGAATGTGATCTAAATGGGCAAACTGACAATCCCAATGCTACTACTTAGTTCAGCATCATGCGTTATCCAGATGGAAAATGCATTACATTGATACTGGAGAACGATTCATAGTTCAATTTGATTCCTTTCAGCAGAGTTAAGTTGGTGTCATTATTTGATTACCCATGCTGCATCTCAAGTGACAGTATGCAGCTAATAAGCAGCGCATAATTAAAATCAGGTTTTTTGAAAGGAAGAAGAGGATTGATGATAACGGCTGACAAAAAGTTCCTTTGAAAAGGTAGAACAAATGATTACAATTATTTACAGAAAAATGAATAATGGTGTATACAGTACGTGCATTATAACACCTGGAATTAATTAAGTAAATCAATTAATTATATTATACTCTTCACATAGCATATACACTTCTTTAAATGTAAGCATTTGGCAGATGCTTTTATCCACAGCGACTTAATACATTTTTATCAGTTGCATTCCCTGATAATTGAACCCATTGCCATCACCATGCTCCACAGGGTTACACTGCAGCATCACACACACAGTCACAACCAAAGGCCTCCCTTTGACACTGCAGACACATGAAAGCACAAGATAAAACAGACATCACACGTAAACAACCGTCAGACAAAAGGCAGATAACGCCCATCATTCACCCACACACTACCTACGACACACACGACTCAAACTTGAACTGTTCATATCGGCAAAGTTCCCGCTGGAGCCTCAGAGGGAAAGCAACAGGCTACCCCGAGACAAAACACACTCACCACGTCAGTCACAGCACAGGAAACCTGGTCGATGTCCAGCTCTGCCGTCATGTTTCATCCAGCGATTACAGAACAGACGCTTTCTCCTGTTCCCTCTTCTCACTCTTCTCAGAGAGAGGGGCGGTGGCAGGAGGTTAGGGAGCGAACAGTCGCGATTAAGAGAAACAAGAGAGATGGGAACAAGACAACAGGGCAGCCCGTTGCTTCCAACACCCACCGATAACAAATAAAAGGTCTTTTCCCCCTCGATAGCAGCCGACGTTGCTGGACAAGGGAGGGATCCGAAGCAAAGCAGACGTATAAATGCCTGGAGAGTGTGTTTGAGAGCGATGAGTGGCACTCAAGCGGCTCTAATTGGATTTACAGGGTCAGGTGGAGGGGGTGGGCTGTGTAAATCTCAGCTTCTGTTTCAGTGTGCAAGTTGATAAGGGTGATTATTGGGAAATGTAATTAATAGAGGAGGATAAATCCGTCCAAAAGTAAAAACGCCACGTGAACAGAACACGTGGTAACATCCAAGCTGCTGTTGCCATAGTGACAGGAATGGACAACTCCATATGGCGACAATACATGCACGTATATCTCCATATGTCTACGCTATTGTGTACCAAGAAAGGAGAATATGAAGAGTTCAGATGCAAAAGCCTCTAAATGCCATTTGAAATTTTCTTCTAAAATGACCATTTTTATCAAGCTTGTATTTTTAAGTTCAGTAATTTCACTTAAATGACAATTAATAGGTAATCTTCATTGCCATTTAAGTGAAATCACTGAACTTAAATATACAAGCTTGATAAAAATTATCATTTTAGAAGAAAATTTCAAATGGCACTTAGAGGCTTTTGCATCTGAACTCTTCATATATTAAAGGTACTGGTGTGGGAAATGTGTTTGTCTTCCACAGTGCAGAGTTGGTTAATCCTGAGCTTAACCTCCTCTGGGTTTCCTGTCCGGAGAGCGCAGCCTGGCTGCAGTGCTGGGGAACTGTGCTGAGCAATGAGGAGGCGGTGTTTCCAATTGCAATTTTCAGTTGTAAGACAGTTTCTTAAAGGTATGAGGTTTTTTAAACATATCCGTTCTGCTGTTTGATCATGTCAGAGGTTTAGCATTAGGATACAACTACCATTACTGGATTGCATCAAGAAGTTACAAAGACATTTTTAGGCATATCACTCCCTACAATGTCGAAGTTCCCTACACATTTAGGAGAGCAAAAAGTTAAAGGTTCGGTAGGCAATTTCATAGAGGCTAGCAATAGCAAGCTAACTTTGAAATCATGAGAACACACTAGAGCCAGACCGATATATATCGGCAGGCCGATATTATCGGCCGATATTAGGCATTTTCCAAACTATAAATATATAGTTTTATATAGGCCGATAAATGAATATATTTCAAAAATAAAATAAAAACGTACGAAACACGCTTGAACCATGTCATGAGTGTTGTGTAGTTTGTCCACCAGAGGGCACTCTACACCGTCCCTGTTGGCAACACTCGTTGAGTTGGTCACGATACATACATTGCTTGAATAACAATTAAAAGAACATCCCCATCAGTTCTCTTAACTCAAATAAGCATGACAAAATTTGTGGCCGGCGGAAGTTTCCTTGGCCAGTTATATTGAAAATGTATGTTTTACAATTTGCAGTATGACGTAATCTATTGCTAAATTATGGTTCATCATAGACTAGTTAACCATAAAGCTAGCTAATACCATTATCATTAGTCTGTTCTGTTGTGACAATAAAAGAAACTTTTAGAAAGTTTCTTTTTAAAATGCATTATCATATTATTTTGGTTAAAACTCATAACTACAAATAACTAATGTTAGGGAAATCTATTAATGTTTTGTTGCGCCTTTCTGAAATAAAAAAAAATAATAAATGTCGGCCGATATATCGGCATATCGGATTTTAAAACCAAAAAATATTTGTATCGATATCGGCCTTCAAAACCCTTTATCGGTCGGGCTCTAGAACACACTCTCCCTTCAGAGAGTCTCCAAAGCCACGCCTCCTGCAAAACACATAAACGCACACAACGCAAACGTCTACAAAGCATCTGCAAAAAAATTAAAAATAAATAAATAAAAAGAAACTTTTCACAGGTAATTAAGAGTATTTAGAGTACACACACGTGGCTGTTTTCGGAAAGACTCGGTACAGCGTATCTGTCTTTTGCAAATCTGATCAAACTAAAAACTCTTCAGAGATATGTAGTATGGTACTCAAGATTAAAGTACATTTTAAAGCATATTTAATAATCTTTTGTCCTGCTTAAAAGTAGTACACATATTTGTTGACTAACATACTAAAACACTTTTATTTTAACTGTAGTCACTATGTGTTTTTTAATATTATATATGCAATATTATATAATATTATATATAATTATATATATGCAAACCTGGCGTTAAGACTTGTTTTGGCCAGAAAAAACGCTACAACAAGAACTTCCAAACTAGAAAGTGACCATTCAGTTTATTTCCTGTTTTTATGAGTAGTTTTGGGGTAAATCTAAAACAGAAAAAAAGTACAATAGACCGTCAAGCAAAAAAAAAAAAAAATGCTTTTAAATAACAGCAAAGCTGTCGCTTGAATGGCATACTACCATTCAATATTGTCTGTCCAAAATTGATGAGCGCAGCTTATTTCAGACAAATTACAGAAATTAATCAGAACATACAAATATATATATATTTCACTTGATTTCAGGTACCTCAAGAACAAAAAAAAAATACTTCATGACCCTAGAAAGATATTCCAGCAATTTGTGTCGTTGTTTGATTTAGTTTCCTTTATGTTTCTACCAAACAAACACTTTCTTCCATTTTCAGCGGTCAGATTGTACGCTTTGTTGCCTTTCACATCAATGACAAAAACATTCTGCAAACACACTGTAGATCAGAATAACAACATGGCGTGAAAGTAATTCAACTCTGGTTCAAATTCAATGGTAGAGTAAAACGGGCATGAGTTTGGCTCAGTAACCCATGTAGTTTCGCTAATCTCCAGCGTGCTCTACTATGACTGACGTGAACGGAAGCATTGAGACAGAGGAGATCATCAAGCAGGGTATAATAGGTCAATGAACTAGAGCACAGCCAAGTATTAAATAAGAAACAGGGAGTGGAGATGACAGATGTACAAGTAAGTGTGAAGGGTGTAATCTCATTCCCAGCCCTCACAGAATGATGTTGCTCTTATAATTCAACAATGGATTCAATCCTCATCTGCGTTAGATAAACTTCTGCAACCATGTCTGCTACTGCTGATGGTCTGATTAGGGCCAGAAAACGGACCTTGAATTCAATAAACACATATAGGCACATTTAAACATTGTCATAGTATGAACAAATGCTATTGTCATTCACATATTTACCGTTCGATATAACCTGATGTGGAAATACTGGAGTGTTCACAGCATCATGCTGCAAAAGTCAACCTACAAGGCAGGCATACTTGACCTAGATTACATCAGATGGTGTACCTTGCAATTCAATAACAAAATAAACGGTTGGTAAAATAGGTCGTTTAGATGAATAATCATTAGTGTCATGCAACAACTCAGCTACTCTGAGATAAGCAACTGATGATCCGGAGAAATGGGATTTCATAAACATAAAGAAATGTTTAAAAAGAGCCTGAATACTTGTGCCAATGTGGTATTTCAGTTTTTTTTTTCTTTTTTGCAGTTATCCTTTACTTTGTCATTATGGCATATGGAGTGTAGATTGATGTGAAAAAATAATTGGCCACAATTTATGTTAAGTGTCTTTAATACCATGTACTAACTAGGGATGAACAATACAAAGCAGGTTGAAAATCGGTGGTTAAAAATGTGCACAAGGCAAGAATATACTGTATATTATTACACTGTACTTATATTTTAAGATAACATATATTAATTTCAGTAATTACATTTAGAAATTAACTGTTAACCTTTTCCTGATCCCTTAACCCACCCTGAAACCTAACGACCCAACCTGTCCCTAACCTCAATAACAACACAAGTGTTTTTGCAATATAACATGAACACAATGAACACAATGAGTATTGACATCATTTGTTTTGTATCTACATAGTAGTTAAAGAAGATGCCTAATACAAATTATGACAAAAGAATTTTAGCATAAAATAATTTTAGCATAATTCTGCAACAAAGAAACTGACATAATGAATAGGTCCGAATACGTTCTGAATGCACTAAAATTACCATGATCTCTGATGGAAACAGACCTTGAAGAGTCAAACACAAACCACCATGAGTAAATATTACATCATCAGTCCTTTTGTTCCTGTAATGAAATCACATCAACATTCTGTGATGCAAATTTCTAATCACTGTTTTTGAATAATAAAAACTCCCAACAAAAAGCCTGTGAGCTGCAACAAAGGCCATGAGGATCACACGCACATGAGGAATAAAACCTGCATAATGATCAAGAACGTGAATGTGAACATATGAACATAACCCAAAAAGATGGGTTAACCCTTGACATTTCAGACGGTGTAACCTTGTCCCAGGATGCACCTGAGGCACTGATGGATGAGGAACAAGGATTTCCCTCCGATTCCGAAGTGCAAAGAAAGCCCCCCGTGCAGCGGCCCACGCGTGTACACCCCAGCGCTGGAACACACCCCTGATCAGCGCAACTGTACGCAGGAGTGTGTGCTTGAGAGCGGCCACATCAAGCAGCAGGTGTATCCTGCCACAGCAGCAGTTGAGGATGCTCCAAATCTGACACGCTGTCAGACAAGAGATGAGAGAGCCAGAGGGGTTTGATCTCAGACATTCAAATGTCAGCTCTGTCTCTTCAGTGTCTGACGACTGATGTTAAAAGAGAATGCAACACTCTTTATGACCCACAGAGGGCAGTACGCATCACCACACGCCAAATGTCTATTGTGGCAAGCATACTTGGCAACACAAATGTAGTTAATATTCACTAATGGATTAAGTATCATGAACTAAGACTAAAAAATACTTTTGCTATGCTCTGGCCAAAACATATGGAAACACGGAAATATCAGGCTAAAATACACAGTATTGAAATACCTCGTCACTTATTAATTGTAGTTTAATTACTCATTATATCTTTTGAAGGAGTACGGATGATCTTAATTCACGCGAGTTCATGGTTACTTAAAACAATTACTCATTAACTTAATGTATTTTTTTAACTTTATAAAAATGTTTTATGCGAGACACACTACAGGCAAAAACACTTTTTTATGCATCTGTCAATTTTGAGATTTTAGCTTTACATTGAGTGTATTTTCAGACTAGTGGAAAGGATACTTTTAAGTATTTATTTGCGTCTGTAGATTTCAATTACAGTCCATACCTTTAAAGGCCGTTTTCACAAAATGAGTTTCAGTAACACGTATACACCAAGCTTTACAGTATTATTCATATCTACTGTATATTCTGAGTGTTTTTACTGAGTGGTTTATTTATATCGCTGAGTGGTATAAACTCGTATTTTTACTAAATGGTTTGTAAATCAGCTAAAAATTGTTATTCAAATTTATTCAGGCTCTTTCAGACAGTATTTCTGAGTTATGGAGGGA